CCCCAAAGGGGGGGCGGTGGCTTGCGGGGCCGTAGCCCAGTGGGGGGGGGGGTTCTTTCCCCTTTTTTTTCTTTTTTTTTGTTTTCTTTTATTATTTCTCTTTTATTTCTTTACTGTTTTCATTTAAAGTTTCTATTATTTTCTTTTTATAAAATACCAAGTTAGCACCTAAATTAGTATTACTAATTAGGCCTCTGCCATAATTATTTTGGCACGCTATTAATTTAGTTATATTACTATATCTTTATAAAAGGCATTAAAGTAATTGTTTTGCCCCAAGCTTTGGTTATTTTAGTGAAATTAAATATTATAAGAAATGTTGGTTTCTCCACCATTATTACTCGTGAACTATTCGTCACATTTAGAACATTTTAGTTTTAATGTTTGAAAACTTTTGTTGTTTGTCTTTAATTTAAATTTGAATTTGAATCGATTTCGAACTAACTCGAGATTAGCAATTATAATTCGAGGTGACATGGCATCATTAGCAGAGGTTCACTGCAGCTTAATTATCCGGGCGTCACATCGCCACCCAGCCTTTTCTTTTCCCTTGGGGGTCGCGCGCCCAAGGGTCATCATTATTTTAAACGCCGGGCCAGTGCTCCTCTGAGTGTTGGTCCAACTTGTCAGCCGCCGGTGGCCACTAGGGGCAACTCTGGGTTGGCCTATCGGAAGTTTGGACAATCCGGTGTGCCCTGAGAAAGAGATATGTGCAGCTCCTATCGGGATTTGTCGGCACATTCGGGCGGTGTTGCTGGTTTAGTTTTACCTTGTCGAAATGTCTAGTAACCGGGATTCCGAGTCTGATCGGGTCTTCCGCTAAAAGGTCTATTCCTTCGTTGACCGTGAGAGCTTGTGATGGGCTAAGTTGGGAGACCCCTGCAGGGATTTGAAACTTTTAAAAGTCATGCCCGCAGTTATGGGCAGATGGGAATTTGTTAACGTCCGGTTGTAGAAAACCTGAAGTTGACCTTAATTAAAATGAACCAACTGTGTGTGTTACCGTGATGGTCTCTTTCCGGCGGAGTCCAAAAAGTGAACACGGTGTTGGAGTTATGTTTGACGTAGGTTGTTCTAGGATCACTTTTTGATCATAGTTTCTCGATCATGCTTTTGCGTATGTTAGCCACCATATATGCTAGTCGCTTGCTGCAGCTCCACCTCATACCTTTACCTTACCCATAAGCTTAAATAGTCTTGATCGCGAGGGTGCAAGATTGCTGAGTCCCCGTGACTCACAGATACTTTCAAAACCAGCTTGCAGGTGCCGATGAGTCCGTGCAGGTGACGCATCCAAGCTCAAGGAGGAGCTCGATGAAGATCTTGTCCTTTATGTTGTTCCGCTTCTAGTTGATCAGTAGTGGGACCCACTTGGGGTCGATCGGGGACCTTGTCGCATTTGGGGTTCTTCTTTTATTTTGGTTTCGTAGTCGGACCTTGATTGTATTTGGATGTTGTAATGCTTTATTCATGTATTTGTGTAAAGTGGTGAGTGTAAGCCAACTATGTCTCTTTTCCCTTATGTATTACATGGGTTGTGTGAAGATTACCTCACTTACGACATTGCTTTCAATGCGGTTATGCCTCTAAGTCGTGCTTCGACACGTGGGAGATATAGCCGCATCGAGGGCGTTACAGCAGGGGTCCAGCAGGGACGCCCGCGTCAAGCAGGAGAAGGCCGACAATGACGACGACAGTGAGGATGGCGGCGACGACGGCGACTACTCCGCGTTCAGCCAGTTCCTTTTTTAATTAGATATATATTTGCTATGTAATATGAATCCGCGAACATGTTTAAGTTTGCTATGAATATATGCCAAAGTTTGCCGAAATTTAGACGTGTTTAGCCGAACTTCGTCGAACGTTTTCTTTTTTGAACGAGCCTGGGGGCGGCCCTGGGGCGACGGCTGAGGACTAGCTCGCCCCCAGGCCGATTTTTTGCGCCGGCTCACCTCCAGGCGACGATTTTAGGCGCCCTCTGGAGGGTCAACTATAGCTGGCCAAATGGGCCGGGTTTTTCGGGCCGGCCCGTGAGCACGCCGGCACGGCCCGCCTTGGGCCAGGCACGACACGGTCTAAACGGGCCGGGCCCGGCATGCGGCACGCCCTGGGCCGTGCTTGGGCCTGGAGGCTGGGCACGCAGGCCGGCACGGCACGACCCGATTATATTTTTTTATTTTTTTATACATCTATATATGGCCCAACATGTAAAAATAGGCTAAAAAACGCTCAGTGCGTCAAATAACAGGCTAAAAATACGCGGCCCACCGTGCTAAACGGGCCAACGTGTCGGCCCGTTTACTAACTGGACCGTGCCTGGGCCTGGGGGCGCAGCACGCGGGCGGGCACGACACGGCCCGTATAGTAATCGTGCCCTGGCGGGCTGTGCCGGGCCAGGCACGATTATGATGGGCCGGCCCATGCCGTGCCGGGCCGGCCCGTTTGGCCAGGTATGGGGCCAACGGGTGGAGATGCTATTATAGCAATCTCATGAGCCATCACATTTGGCCAAACGACCTGTCTTAGAAAAAAAAAATCTATGTCTAATACTGCATCCTCTTCTTCCTCCTCAGCCCTCACTCCCGTCCCGATCCCCTTTTATCCTCTCCCAAACCCTACTACAAATCGAGTAAGATCGAGCAAGGACACTCCGTCAATGTCGATAGGGATGGAACCACCGGCTGGCCACCTCGCCGCTGAATCCTCCCCTCCTGTGACTGTGATGAGCCGGCGGCGCTCTGTGGATGGGCTCCTCCTCCTCCTCCCCAGGCCATACCGAGTCTGCTCCTGTCCGGTTAGTGCTCCTTCTCCCCCCCTTCCCGGAACCGGAGCAGATCTCGGAGAAGCAAACAGGTCCCATCTTTCCTCCGCAAACAACAGCAAAAAGTCGGAATCTTTTCCGGAGTTGATCCATGTTCTGATTCCACAAGCCCCAGGCAATCAACCTCTGTTGATTTCCTTTGCCTACTCGGATCTGCCTCACCTATTCGAATCAGGGGTGAAGCAGCCTCGGTTGGTCACCTATAAATATAGCCACAAGTCTCTTCCTGCTCCACCCAAGTTGCTATTTTGCAAGCATTGCAGCAGAAGCAGTTCGTCTTCCATGACATACTATAATCCCATGGAAGACCCTTAGTAGTGTAGACACGATATTCAACTTCTGGGGGCTCCCTATACACACCACAAATTTGGATTTGCGCTCCCTGGTCTTCCGAGTTTTACCTCAGCTGCTGGGTCTCTCTCCTCCCAGCTCACTGAATATTCTCAAGACACCACCACTACTGATAGAGGCTACACTCCCGGAGCTACCAGAGGACATCTTGATGCGCATCTTTGCCACCCTTGAGATCCCTGACCTCATACGTGCCGGCGCTGTCTGCACCTTTTGGCGCTCTGCCTACACCTCCCTGCGCACACTCGGCAAGCACAAGCAGCCCCAGACGCCGTGCCTGTTCTACACCTCTGAATCTTCCAGCGACAATGTTGCGTGTCTCTACAGCCTCGTGGAGAAGAGGGTTTACAGCCTAACTCTCCCGGAGCCGCCTCTCCACACTAGGTTTCTGATTGGGTCCTCTCTCGGCTTGCTGGTCACCGTCGATGAGAGATCTGAAATGCACCTCGTCAATCCGATCACTGGTCAACAGATTGCTCTTCCTTCAGTGACCACGATGCAGCATGTGAAGCCCATTTGTGATGACTCGGGTGCTGTCCACAAGTATGCATACTCAAAGCACACGGCAAAGCAAGTTATCTGCCCTCCAAAGATAATTGCTCCAGCTGCCCTGCGGGAATTCTTCCATCAGAAGGCTCTTTTGTTTTATGATACACCCACAGGGAGCTACATAGTGGTGCTCATCCACTTGCCGTTTGGTCAGCTATCCTTTGCAAGGGTAGGGGACGATAAGTGGACCTGGCTGCCACCTCACACTGATTATTTTGACTGCACCTACAAGGATGGGCTACTGTATGCAGCGACTCTATTGGGAGAAGTTCACACCTTTGATCTTAGTGGGCCTGCTGTTACAATGAACACTATTATGGGTGTGGATGATGACGATTTAGAAATTCAGGGAGCATACATTCTTGAAGCTCCATGGGGTGGTTTGCTGCTTGTTTGGAGGTTGAAAGTGTATAGTGGTTATCAGGATGATATTTCATCACTTAAGCTGCACACCAAGGGAATTAAAATACATGAAGTTGATGTTCCTGCCAAGAAGCTTGTGGAAATTGATTGCTTGCACGGCCATGTGCTGTTCCTTGGTCATAACCAGTCACTCTGTCTCAGCACTAAAGAATGCCCTGCTCTCAAGGAAAATCGTCTCTACTTTACTGACGATGATGCGTACATAACTGTGCATAAGGATAATCGTCGCGATATAGGACTACTTCGCTTGGATAATAATAGCTGGGAAAGCCTTGTGTTTCCTCAGCTTTGGTCCAACTGGCCTGCTCCTGTGTGGATTACACCCAATCTTACAATGATGAAACTGTCGATGAATAAATAGGGCTGGTTCAAGAAGGCTTAATAAGACGCTCGCCTAGGCGCATGTAGGCGAGCTGGAGTGCAACGGCATTGCGTAGGCCCTAAGCCGCGAAGGACTATGTCCAGGAGGAGAAGGTTGTTTTCCAACGACACAAAGACAAAGGGTTGATGATTCAGGAAGCCGTGTGATGGCATCATGTTGTCAAGTTATCAGTTATCAAGTGTTTAGGTTTCAATAACGTGTCTGTTTTATTATGTGTGGTACTCTGTAACTTAATAAATGTCTTGTGGCTGATGTGTGTGTGTGGCTGTGTCTCATTTATGACTTGAGAGAAGTCAGGGAAATAAGAACTTTGTTATTCTCTACTTGTTGTGATTTGTCATTTTCGGACTTCTGATGATCACTGGAAATTTGCAAAGCTGCTTTTTTCTAGCCATGAGATGAGTTCCTACTCTTCCCTTGTCTCAGGTTGTTCATTTATTCAGTTATAATCGATTTACCGTCTCTGATCTCTGTTACTGCCAACAGCTGTATGAAATACATCAAGAAGCCAAGAAAAATAAGTTTGGATGCAATGATTCAAGAGAATGCAGGACAGCAAGAAGCCAAGAGAAATAAGTTAAGGTTCAAGAGTGGGTATGAATCTGAACTGCTGCTGTTTTTATATTTTCAGTAATTTACAAGTAGATAGTACATCATCATGTATTCATATATGTTACATCATTGTTGTTTTTGCCCGTGGAAGCCATCATTTTGGCTTTCAATTGGTGCTGAACCTGCTGTTCTTTTCCCCGGATCCAAAAGGATAACTACTACCTTTGCGGCCTAGGCACTGGCAGGCAGCCACCCTCCACCCAGCGCCTTGTATTAGATCTCACCTGGCAGTATTGGGATATCCAGATTAGGGGAGCTTTATAGGCATAATGACAACTTTTTATTAGGTTCTTCTGTAAATTGCACAGAAGAGGTAATTAATCCTCACTGACATGACCTGATATATCTTCAGTATTCTTTGTTTTTCTTATCTTATGCGTGGCTTTAAATTTCAATGCACCTTTTGGAAGAGCTGCCATCTATCTTTCGGGGCCACTTCTGGAAATTATCTTACACATATATCTGTTGTTGCATGTTTAAGAAGTGTTTGGAAAGTTTATTCTTCTGATGTGTATTTTCGAAGTGAATTCATTGCCTAGCTTTTATTCATTTTTCACAATAGCCTATATAGCCTAGGAGAGGCAACCTAGATTGGTGTACATTGTAGCTACTAAATATATAGAGAAATGAAGGGGGCTAAGCTAGCCCACACGCTGTGCGTTTCAAGTGTTGCCCGAGGGCTCCTTTCTGGCTGACACGTTTGCGTTTTTTTTTCTTTTTTTACCGCTCCTGCTTGATTTACCGCTGAAAGACCATCGGTTTCTTCCTCTATCTTCCAGATACAGAGAGAGAGAACAAAAGAGGGACTGGGGGGAAAGGGGAGCAGCCGTCCTACTCCGCTGCCGCAGCTGGCGGCCCATGCCGCCGCCGTGTTCTTCTCCCCCTCCGCCATATCCCCTCCTCTGCTTTGGCTGGGCCACGGGGGTGCACACCAGCAAACCCGATGCGGCGATGCCTCCTCTCGCTATCTCTCTCACATGGAGAACAAACAAGGGCCAACCACGGAGATGAGGTGACGATCCCTGCGATGGCGGGATCGATCACGGCTTTCCCTCACGCAGGCGTGGCCTTCTCCTACCTCATGCTAGCAGCCGTCCACCCAGTGTGGCGTTCTCTTCGCGCTTAGGTACGGCTGCTCCCATCCCCCCTTCTGTGTCTGCAATAGAGATGGTTTTGTGTCCTGCTGCAGTTTTATGTTTTATCTTCAACTGATTGGTTGGTTATTTGAGAAAATGTTTGTGTGGTGTCAGGTTCAGTGCGGAGAAATCTTGACAAAAATACACATGTATTGTATTCTTTGATGTTGCTATTTCATGCCCTCTTTTGTTTGTTAATATGTCTACAAGAACTAAGCATCATTTTTATGTTTCTATTTCTATAGCTTTTGATCCAATTAGGACTTTTGCGCATGCAGGACAACCCCAACGACCGGTCCCCCACTCTGTGTGTCGTGTTCATCTTGAAGAACGGATGGGCCATATAACTAAGTTGCTGGGAGTGTGAGAACTATTAAGATGGTTTTAGTTGATAAAGATCACAATGCACAGCCGCACACAACATCATCATGCACGCGTGCATGGTGGCGCATAGCTCTGCCTCCATGGAACATCTGTTCTTATTGAAGCCAAAGGCCGTACTGTTACTGCTGGTGGAATCGCCTTATCCGCGCTTCCTTCGGATTGTTTTTTTTATCGGGCTGCACCTGCTCCTCTTGATTCTTTGATCTGTGTGCTTTTTGCCAGCATGTTTCTCTTTCCGTAGCAAAATTGGACATTTTTTTACTGAATTTGTTATTCTTCTTTGAACCATTTTTTCTACAAGCCACAGAAGGATTTTTGATGTGCTAGCCTTGGTCCAACTCATTCACGTAATTTAATTTACATTTTCTTAATGGCATCAGCATTTCTACATTCACAACCAAAGAATATTCAACATCTCATTATGTATTGTAAAACTATTAAAGTTATTAGATCCAGACGCTTCGTATAGCTAATGCTTTGTTTACATGTTTTAGGGCCTAGCTGATGGATGACCAACTCATTTTTCATACAAGGATAAATTAACTGTTCGAATCACTAGGATATGGGAATATTGGAGCGATGATAGGACTGAATTATATGGTCAGAACTTCGTCATGGTAGACTCCAAGGTAAGACTCGCACAATTGTTCATGCTTTCTGATCTATCCTTACCATCTGCCTTACTAGGATGGCACAATAGAGGGAGCAATTACTGAAAAAAGAATGCACATCTTTGATAATAGAATTTGCGAAGGAGCAGTTTACAAGATTGGTTCCTTTGAAATCTCTAAGTTCACAGAGAAATATAGAGCGACGGAGCGCCCATCCAGGTTCCTGAACCAGAATTTTTTCCCCAAGTTTGGATACACAACCTATCCTATAGCATTACTTTGAAAAACGAATTCGATTGAATACAAACCTGTCAAGTCAGTTAATTACAGATGCATTTCGTTGGAATGCTGACTGTAGTGTTTACATCGGTAATTCATTTATCCATTTCCTATGCACAGATGTTGTTGGATTAGTTACTGGCATTTTCTACCCACTGGTGCATCAGTTTTTTTTTTTGAGGTGTACTGGTGCATCAGCTGAGCGAAGGGGACAGTTCCATATCACTGATGGCTAGTACGCACTTCACGTCTTTTGCTCCCACTCTTTATTCATTTTTTGCTATGATACAATCTTATACAAAGAAATTGCATCCTACTTTTACAACGTGTGCTGCTGTTACTATGGGGAGGGAAAATATGCGGATGCACTCGATGTCTATAGACTAGTCAAATGATGAACCTGTTGTGCTACTGTTTTTTTTTTCGAGAAACTTCCAATCTATTCATCTTTAATCATGGCAGTACAAAGAACAATAGAGGTAATAAAAATTACGACCATGTCTGTAGACCACCTAGCGATGACTACAAGCATTGAAACGAGCCGAAGGCGCGCCGCCGTAATCATCCCTTCCTCATTGGGGTTGGACAAACCTTTTTGTAGTAGACGATCGGGAAGTCGGCGTGCAAAGGCCCCATAGGACCAACGCACGAGAGTAGCAACAATCATCGATGAAGAAAGTCGAAGATCAGAAGCTTAAACACCCAAACGAAGATAGGATCCAAACAAATCCACCGAAGACCAGCATTGACTGAATCCCGTGAGATCCGACAGAGACCAGAACCAAATGATGAACTGTTTGTTGGCATGACAAGAGATGAATTTAATGGTAAACTAGCATAATGCCCATTGCAACGGGAGAAACAATTGTATGTTTAAAACATATTCATAGTTTCACAACGGGGAGGGACACTTGTCTCACTGCAAACGGACACCCGCACAGGCACAGCCCCCCTCCTATCAACACCCTAGGCCTTGTTCGGTTGCCGTGGTTGTTTCTAACCTCCTGGGGATTGGGTGATCCCCGACTTGTCACCCAACCCCAGCTATTCCTCATCCACATGAATCCCCGACTTGTTCGGTTACTCTCTTTCTAATTCATATATATGAATCGTTGCCCCCGGTCAACGCCAGGTCCGAATCTAATAACCCAAGAAGTTGGGGAGGAGAGGGGAAGGAAGAGGAGGGAGGGGTGGGGAAGTATGCTGCCATCGCGGCCTCCGTATGGCTGCACCGCCGCCTCAAATCACGGAAGAGAGAGAGAGAGAGAGAGCTTGAGGACTCGGGGAGAGAAAGCTCAATTTTTTTCTTCCGGCGTACTGTTTCGCCCGTCGGGAGGGATTGATTCCACGGGTAGAGGGGCGAGGAGTATATCCCGGGAAGCACCACGTGGTTTGGGAGGGATTGGGCGGGGATGTAGCCCTGATCGGGTTTAACCGAACACGTTCATAGAGCAGCCCGGGTTGAATCCCGGTTGGGCCGAAACCATGGGGTTCGGCGGGGGAGGGGCTAACCGAACAAGGCCTCAGTCAACGACTCAAACTCAATCCCCTTGGTCATCACAAAACCTCTTGAACCACAACAAAGTTTTCTTTTTGAGGGAATGCCATCATGATTAGCTTTATTGATTCGGCAATATCATTACATCGTTCACAAGAGCGTTTACAAGAAAATCTGGGGGTTCCTCAACCCAATTACTAGATATATCATTATCATATGAATGTTTGGCTAAGAGGTGGGCAACACCGTTTGCTTCCCGTCGACAGTGCACAAACTCCATATTCCCGATCATACCTGCTAAAACGAAGCAGTCTGCAAAAATAGCTGTAGATTCACTCCATATCCTCTCGTGGCCTGAGCATGCATTAACAACTTGAATGGCGTCAGCTTCAATCTGAATTGAGGTATATCCCAAAGACTCCGCCAACTGAAGGCCATTTTTCATTGCCATTGTTTCCG